GCTTTCACTCTCAGAATACTGTGGTTCAAACGCATAAGGCTCTAACCCAAGTTTTAAAAAGCACATTGTGCATATAAAAGTCGAGTTTATACTGGTAGTACACAATGCTTGGCAGCATGAACGGCTATGTACAATGGCGTATACGAATGTGATCAGATACTAAAACGTCATAGCTTTGAAAAATACCCGGATGTTAAATATGTTCGTTCGTTATTTATTCCCCTCCATGAATGGCCTCCATGGTGTTTGATTGCAAGCACTTCAAATGCCAATCCAAGCTACAATTATAATTAAAACAAAATTAAACCACTGCAATATTATTTCGAATACAGTTTAGAATATACACAACTATAAATTAAGGCCGCATTTAGGTTCGCTTTAATAGGATGCTTAATTTGGTTGCTTCATTCCTTGCTCGTAAATCCTGCACAAAGCGAGAATTACTAAGCCTCCTGGGACACCTGAATTTCGCATGCAGGGTGGTCATTCCAGGCCGGACATTTATTTCACGCTTAATTGAAATTTTCAAGGGAGTGAAGAGTTTAAACTACCATGTGACATTATCGCCAGAAAGTAAACAAGACCTGCTGATGTGGCACCAACTCCTCTCTAATTAGAATGGTGTTTCTATGTTTCTGGAGGCCGAAACAACCCTAGCATCGAATATGCAGCTATTCACGGATGCCAGCGGCATAGGGCAGGCGGTTATTTTTGCGTTCATTGGTTTAACGAACGCTGGCAGCACAGACTTACCCTTGACTCTGATCCAGCACTGTCCATCGCATTTCAAGAACTGTACCCAATCGTGGTAGCATCAGTGTTATGGGGTCATTTTTGGGGACGTAGGCGAATTATGTTCAATTGTGACAACATGGCGACCGTTCACATTATCAATAAATGCCGCTCTAAGTCACCTGTCATTATGAAGCTAATGCGACGACTAGTAATCATGGCAGCATCCCACAGTTTCATGTTTCAAGCTCAACATATCCCTGGGAAGCTTAACACAATTGCTGATTCTTTGTCTCGTTTCCAGATACAACGTTTTCGGGAAGTGGCTCCACTCGCAGACAAATCCCCGTGCCTGATTCCCTCCGAAGTAATGTTCAGCTGAACCAAGCGCTGGTCACCTTCCAAAGAGCGGCTCTCAGTGCACGTACAATTGGATCATATTCAACAGGAGTACGCGCATGGTTACGTTTCACAGCTTTGTCAGAAATCCCAGGGCAGTCAACTTCGCATCCCCGTATCTCAGAAGACATCCTGATATATTTTGTGACGCATTGCGCTACGAACTTGCATCTTAAATACACCACTATTAAGGTATATCTGGCAGGCATACGGAATTACTACATATTAGGTGGCTACCCTAATCCACTGCTTACTCTACAAGGTCAGTCACCTCTTCGCCTTAATTATGTACTCCGGGGAATTCTACGTCTCCAAGGAAATGAAACCCGACCACGTTTGCCCATAACGGTAGATATACTACAACGTTTGTGCAACCTACTCCGTCAGGGGGTATTTGGTCCCTATTTCGATCTCATGCTGGAATCAGTATTTTTGTTAGCCTTTTATGGTTTCCTCCGCTGCAGCGAGTTTACTTGCCCCACTTCAACTTTCAATATGCAGTACAATTTATGCTTGGCTGATATCAGTGTACCAGATCATGCAGCCCATATAACTATTCATATCAAGGCATCCAAAACAGATCAATTCCGGAAAGGTTTCGACTTGCGGCTTTTCCCAACAGGCACGCCTTTTTGTCCAGTTACAATGCTGCAGCAATTTTTATCCGTGCGGCATAAGATGTTTCCCCTTGCAACCGAACCACTGTTTCTGCTTCCCGAACGAACACCCCTTAATCGTCGTATCTTCACAGAGTCTCTTCGTATATTGCTCGCAAGGATTGGACTACAACCGCATTTGTTTGCAGGACACTCCTTCCGCATCGGAGCAGCTACCACCGCAGCAAGTGCTCACGTTCCTGATCACCTCATCCAAACATTAGGCAGATGGTCCAGCAACTGTTATCGCACCTACATCAGAACACCAGAGAGTCTTCTACAACATGCCTTTCAAAAAATGGCAACATCGTAAATAGCATCTGACATTTACAGTATTAAGAACTTTCACTGCATCCAATATTCACAGTATTCAGAACATTGTTATTAAATCATGTACAGCATCCGACATTTACAGTATTCAGTACTTTTCTATTTCTTCATTTACAGCATCCAATATTTACAGTATTCAGTACTTTTCTATTTCCTCTTGTTCAGCATCTGTCGGAACCTTCCTATTGCATCATGTTACCGCATCCAATATCTGCAGTTTTCAGAACTATACTATTGCATCATGTACAGCATCCGACATTTACAGGGTATCGGAGGAGTCAATTTGTAATTTCCAGTCTGTTCGCTTATTTTTGTAATTGCTTCTTTTTGTCATTCCTACATCTAACCACATCCACCTGGGTCGTTCATGCGCACATGTCACCCAGGACCCCGCTCCCCAAGCCGTGCATATATCATATGCCCCTTGGGCTGGAGCACCCTAGCATTACTCATCACCACCTGGGTCGTACTTGTTCAATGTAACCTCAAGCTTACTCCCCAAGCCGTGCATATTTCATATGCCCCTTGGGCTGGAGTAACCTACCATATACACCTGGCATGCACATGCACACACGTCACCCAGGATCCTGCTCCCCAAGCCGCGCATATTTCATATGCCCCTTGGGCTGGAGCATCCTGCCATATACTAATTTCCATATGGGTTATGCACGCTCATATGGAACCCTGGTGCCTACTCCCCAAGCCGTGCATATTTCATTTGCCCCTTGGGCTGGAGTACCCTGCCATATCCACCTGGGTCGCACATGCGCACATGTCACCCAGGATCCTGCTCCCCAAGCCGCGCATATTTCATATGCCCCTTGGGCCAGAGCATCCTTCCATCAACTAACTCAACCCTCTACCCAATCCTTATTTCATGGGGGTCACTTCAGTCATGACATACTTGCCATTCCCTCAGTCTGGGCCAGGGATTTCATCCTGCCCCCCATTCAGTTTCTCAGTAGCCACTCTCCAGGCTACCCCTCACTTGATCGGTCACCTTCACGGTCACGCACGACCTTGGTGGCACGGTGACCTTCATCCCCTGGGCAGCATAGTGACCTTCAGCTACAAGGTCACTTCGTGGCCTTGACGTTGATCTCACTTATGCCCTTGGCCTGGTAAGTTAGACTGAAGGGACCCCTTGCCCAATTTATAGTTTTATTAGAAATATGATTTTTTGTTTTTTGTAGAGTTAACTGTTTTTTATTATTGCATAATTAGTAAGTTTTTTGGTTTGTATGTGTTGATTTTGTATGTGCTTTTTTATTAAATGTAATTCAATTTATATCTTCTGTGTGCGGTGTGTCTTTACAAAGTGAGATCTGTGTTGTCACAGATATATTTTGTAGGGACACTTAGCTCACTGCTAGGAGGATTTGCTTAGCACCCCTTAGATAGTCTTTGCAACCCTGTTTAATTAAGCGCTTAATTTAATTTGGCAGCCAATCAGTTCTCACTTGCACACGACACTTAGCGTCACCTAAATTTCTTTTGTCTCTTTGTTACCACTCATTCATTCAGTTTTTTTTTTTTTTTATCACGCTACAGTGCACAGTGCATTATCGTCAATCCCACCACCATCCCCATCTTCCGCCTTTTGGCCCCTTCATTCTGACTTACTGGGCCAGGGATTTCATCCTGCCCCCCATTCAGTTTCTCAGTAGCCACTCTCCAGGCTACCCCTCACTTGATCGGTCACCTTCACGGTCACGCACGACCTTGGTGGCACGGTGACCTTCATCCCCTGGGCAGCATAGTGACCTTCAGCTACAAGGTCACTTCGTGGCCTTGACGTTGATCTCACTTATGCCCTTGGCCTGGTAAGTTAGACTGAAGGGACCCCTTGCCCAATTTATAGTTTTATTAGAAATATGATTTTTTGTTTTTTGTAGAGTTAACTGTTTTTTATTATTGCATAATTAGTAAGTTTTTTGGTTTGTATGTGTTGATTTTGTATGTGCTTTTTTATTAAATGTAATTCAATTTATATCTTCTGTGTGCGGTGTGTCTTTACAAAGTGTATGTGATATACAGTGTGTAGTGATGACAAAAACACAATAGTAATATGAGTATTTGTTCACTTGTATATTTAGTGTATGTGATATACAGGGTGTAGTGATGACAAAAACACAATAGTGATATCAGTATTTCTTCACCTGTACATTTAGTGTATGTGATATACAGTGTGTAGTGATGACAAAAACACAATAGTGATATCAGTATTTCTTCACCTGTACATTTAGTGTATGTGATATACAGTGTGTAGTGATGACAAAAACACAATAGTGATATCAGTATTTCTTCACCTGTACATTTAGTGTATGTGATATACAGTGTGTAGTGATGACAAAAACACAATAGTAATATGAGTATTTGTTCACTTGTATATTTAGTGTATGTGATATACAGGGTGTAGTGATGACAAAAACACAATAGTGATATCAGTATTTATTCACCTATATATTTAGTGCATGTGATATACAGTGTGTAGTGATGACAAAAACACAATAGTGATATCAGTATTTCTTCACCTGTACATTTAGTGTATGTGATATACAGTGTATAGTGATGACAAAAACACAATAGTAATATGAGTATTTATTCACCTGTATATTTAGTGTATGTGATATACAGGGTGTAGTGATGACAAAAACACAATAGTGATATCAGTATTTATTCACCTATATATTTAGTGTATGTGATATACAGTGTGTAGTGATGACAAAAACACAATAGTAATATGAGTATTTATTCACCTGTATATTTAGTGTATGTGATATACAGTGTGTAGTGATGACAAAAACACAATAGTAATATGAGTATTTATTCACCTGTATATTTAGTGTATGTGATATACAGTGTGTAGTGATGACAAAAACACAATAGTAATATGAGTATGTATTCACCTGTATATTTAGTGTATGTGATATTCAGTGTGTAGTGATGACAAAAACACAATAGTAATATGAGTATTTATTCACCTGTATATTTAGTGTATGTGATATACAGGGTGTAGTGATGACAAAAACACAATAGTGATATCAGTATTTATTCACCTGTATATTTAGTGTATGTGATATACAGTGTGTAGTGATGACAAAAACACAATAGTAATATGAGTATTTATTCACCTGTATATTTAGTGTATGTGATATACAGTGTGTAGTGATGACAAAAACACAATAGTAATATGAGTATTTATTCACCTGTATATTTAGTGTATGTGATATACAGTGTGTAGTGATGACAAAAACACAATAGTAATATGAGTATTTATTCACCTGTATATTTAGTGTATGTGATATACAGGGTGTAGTGATGACAAAAACACAATAGTGATATCAGTATTTATTCACCTGTATATTTAGTGTATGTGATATACAGTGTGTAGTGATGACAAAAACACAATAGTGATATCAGTATTTATTCACCTGTACATTTAGTGTATGTGATATACAGTGTGTAGTGATGACAAAAACACAATAGTAATATGAGTATTTATTCACCTGTATATTTAGTGTATGTGATATACAGTGTGTAGTGATGACAAAAACACAATAGTAATATGAGTATTTATTCACCTGTATATTTAGTGTATGTGATATACAGGGTGTAGTGATGACAAAAACACAATAGTAATATGAGTATTTATTCACCTGTATATTTAGTGTATGTGATATACAGGGTGTAGTGATGACAAAAACACAATAGTAATATCAGTATTTATTCACCTGTACATTTAGTGTGTGTGATATACAGTGTATAGTGATGACAAAAACACAATAGTAATATGAGTATTTATTCACCTGTATATTTAGTGTATGTGATATACAGGGTGTAGTGATGACAAAAACACAATAGTGATATCAGTATTTATTCACCTGTATATTTAGTGTATGTGATATACAGTGTGTAGTGATGACAAAAACACAATAGTGATATCAGTATTTCTTCACCTGTATATTTAGTGTGTGTGATATACAGTGTGTAGTGATGACAAAAACACAATAGTAATATGAGTATTCACCTGTACATTTAGTGTATGTGATATACAGTGTGTAGTGATGACAAAAACACAATAGTAATATGAGTATTCACCTGTACATTTAGTGTATGTGATATACAGTGTGTAGTGATGACAAAAACACAATAGTAAGATGAGTATTTATTCACCTGTATATTTAGTGTATGTGATATACAGTGTGTAGTGATGACAAAAACACAATAGTGATATCAGTATTTCTTCACCTGTATATTTAGTGTATGTGATATACAGTGTATAGTGATGACAAAAACACAATAGTAATATGAGTATTTATTCACCTGTATATTTAGTGTATGTGATATACAGTGTGTAGTGATGACAAAAACACAATAGTAATATGAGTATTTACTCACCTGTATATTTAGTGTATGTGATATACAGGGTGTAGTGATGACAAAAACACAATAGTGATATCAGTATTTATTCACCTGTATATTTAGTGTATGTGATATACAGTGTGTAGTGATGACAAAAACACAATAGTGATATCAGTATTTCTTCACCTGTACATTTAGTGTATGTGATATACAGTGTATAGTGATGACAAAAACACAATAGTAATATGAGTATTTATTCACCTGTATATTTAGTGTATGTGATATACAGGGTGTAGTGATGACAAAAACACAATAGTGATATCAGTATTTATTCACCTATATATTTAGTGTATGTGATATACAGTGTGTAGTGATGACAAAAACACAATAGTAATATGAGTATTCACCTGTACATTTAGTGTATGTGATATACAGTGTGTAGTGATGACAAAAACACAATAGTAATATGAGTATTTATTCACCTGTATATTTAGTGTATGTGATATACAGTGTATAGTGATGACAAAAACACAATAGTAATATGAGTATTTATTCACCTGTACATTTAGTGTATGTGATATACAGTGTGTAGTGATGACAAAAACACAATAGTGATAT